TACTCAAAAAAATGTTTTGTTACATTTATTTACGAATTTCTTTAATATTGTAAAATTATTCGAAAACATCAATAACTTTTTTTAAATAAACATTTAATCAATATTATTTTTCCATAGAAATTAAGAATTTTAAAAATTTTCAAATTCAAATCTTTTTAAATTCAATAACTGATAAGAATGTTTTATAATAATTAACGATGACCGAGTGATAAAATCATTGTTTTATATTATAAGAATATTATTACAGTAACTTTTTCAAAATTATTTTCATCATTTCAAATCAATTATTATTTTCTACAATTTTTAATTATTTTTTATGAAAATAATTGAATTCCTTAAAAAAAATTTATTATTTATCAAAATAATTGAATTTTTGCAAAGGAATTTATAAAAAATTTGTAAATAATTGAATTCCTGCAAATTTTTTATTATTTCTGAAAATAATTAAATGTTTGCGTATACTATTTTTAGGAATTTGAAATTGATTTAATAATAATTGAACTTTGGGGAAGAATTTTGTTATTTATAAAAATAATTCGGATTTTAACGAGAATTTTTTTAAATTTGAAAGATAATTGAATTTTATGAGAAGAATTTTATCACTTCTGAAAATAATTGAATTTCTGCAATTATTTGTAATTTTTCCAAAATTGGATTTTTTTAGTGTTTTCAACAAAAATTTGAATTACAAATTTTTAAATTCTATTATTTTTAAAATTGCTAATTTTGTTCTAAAAAGTTAGCCCCGTGAAATTTAAAAATTATTGAATCTAAAGAGAATGAAGAACTAAAAGAATAAAAAAAATTCAAAAGAAAGAAATATACTTAAAAAAATGGAAAAAATAAGAATATTATCCAAATGAAGCAAAAAAGGAAATAAATACTTAAGGAGAGAAATAAATTCAAATCAATTATAATTTCTTCCTTATCATTGAACGGAACTTCGACTTTCTCCCTTCCCTCTCTTCTTGACCGTAATACGATAACACCTCGACCGTTGGTAACTAAACAAACCCTGCCTTACCGTTCAACAGTAAATCCTACTTTACCGACTTACACCTCTAATACCCACAAGAGATAAATATTCTCAAGCGCCAAACGAAGGTTTATTTGAATTTGAAAATAAATAAATTGGAACTTTCTGCTTTGTTTTTATTATCCGCTTTATTGAGTTATTAGAAAATGTCCTATACATTAAGTACTGATCAACTGAAGATATACGACAGAGTCGGTGGCACCACCAAAACTAATTCTAAAAAAAAGAAAAGATATTTCTCTCTGTCGATATCCACAATTACTAATAATTCGTATTCAGTCGTTTAACACTTCGCCACAGTGAGATATTGTATTTTGTTAATTGATTAAATTATACCAAAGAAGAAAGAAGAGAATAATAAATGTGACTATTATGCTTTCGGTTATTTTTTCTTGTTACTGCTAATACAAAACAAAATTGCACATTTTTTTTTTTATTATTCTTATTATAAATGTCGTAAATCGAAGAAATTATAAGTATTACTCCTATATTTTAACATTATTTATCGAAGTATGTAAATTTATCATTTAAAAAAAAAATATCGAAGTTACAATCCATAGAGGAAAATAGAAACGACAAGACATTTCCTTCAGAAACTATTTCTGTAATTTTTAGCATTCATTTTTTTTTTATTTTACTCTTTCAATTTTATTTCCTATTTGTTATTTACTTTTCATTTCTGATTTTCATTTCATTTTTATTTCATTGTTTATTTTTTTTTTATTTAATTTTTTTTTATAGTTTTTTGTTCATTTTTTTATTTAGTTTTCATTTCTTATTTTTTGTTTATTTTTTATTTATCATTTTTTATTTTCTAGAAAAATTGCGAAAAATTATATCTAAAACGATTTTTGTCTAATCATTGGAAAGCTGATTTTTTTCTTTTGCACAAACGTCAAAAAAGTCACGTAACAATTATAGTCAATTGCAAATTGAATCTTTAATTCACACATGTCACTTATTTGCTAAATTTGTAATATTATATAACTTAAAAATATATATATTTTTTTTAATAATATATATATTTTCTTCTTCCTCCTCTTGTCTTAAACATTATACAAAGGCTAATACACTGTATTTACAAGTTATTTATTAAACAGAGGGATACTGATACGGTGTAACCCGAAGAATATTAAATTAAATGTGTATATAGTTATACAAAATAATTCTCCCAAAACAATCAGGAAGGGAAATTAATATTTCGCTAAATTATATATGTTAAAAAAAATTAAAATATATAGTTAGATGAGAAATCGTATCCTAATGGCAAAAAAAAAATTATTCCATCTTCTATAGTGTTTATAATAATTGTGAGGCTTTATTACATTTGCACCACAAATTAAATATAATATTTAATATATTAATTAATCTTCGCTGATCGTTCGAGAGATTTTTTTAATTGAGATTGTTTTAATTAAGGCGCATTCTTTCGTTGCATATATACTTCTTATTGTCTATGTTTAATTTTATTGTTCTTTTAAATGCGGTGTCAGGAAAATTTTTTTTAGTAAATTTGAAGTCTTTCACTTTTTTGTTCTTTTTTTAGTTGGAACTTTTACTCGATTTTTCTTAATTTAGTTGACATTTTTTCTTTTTTTTTAGTTGCAATTATTTTTTTAATTAGTTTCAATTTTTAATAATTTTCTTCAATTAGTAACAATTACTTTTTCAATTAATTAAAATTTTTAATATTTTCTTTAGTTACAATTTTTAATATTTTCTGCAGTTACAATTTTTAATTTTTTTCTTTACATGATTACAATTATTTTTTTTTGATTAGTTACAATTATTTTTCTAAATAGTTTTAACTAGTTTTTTAATTAGTTTCAACTATTTCTTCTTCAATTAGTTCCAATTTTTATCTTCATTTAGTTGCAACATTTATTTTTTTCTATATTTGATCAAAACCTTTTTTCTTTATCATTTATTTGCAATTTTTAATTTTCTTTTTCATTTAGTTAGAAATTTTTTAATTTTCTTTATTTAGTTACAAGTTTAAAAAGTTTTTAAGTTTAAAAAATGTAATTTAATTTTCTTTATCTTAGAAATCTCTCTTAAAACTTTAACTCTGAAATGTACTCGTTTAAGAGTTAATTAATTTAATTATTAATTCGAATATAAAATTTAATAAATCAACTATTAAAATTGCATTCCTCTCTGATACTTGAAAATTAATTTACAGTTTCATTTCTCAAACATTTTTTTAGTTTTTCTTATTGTATAAAAATTCTTGTAACAAAATTTTTCCAAATTATTCTTTCAAGGCACTTTTTTCAAAAAATTTATATAATTTTCCAGTAGAAAATTGATTTAATTATTAATTTAGAATTTTTTCCTCATATAAATTGTTAAATACTATTAAAATTTGGATTGTTAATAAATATTTCGTTAATATTTTCAAAATTGTTAATATTTTTCTGAAAATTAATTTTTAGTTTCATTTCGTAAACTTTTATTTTTTCTTTACCTCTAAAAATGTTGTTATCAAAATTATTATTGAAATTATTATCAAAATTATTCCTTGAAGACATTTTTTTTTTAAATGTAGTAGAAAAATTTATTAGAATTTTTTAGTAGAATATTTACATAATTTACCATTTTTTCTCACTGCAAATTCATATTCTAGTTGATATTTTTATTTATTTATTAATAGACAGAATAAAAAAATAATTGAAAAATAATTTCGTTCTGTAAATTGTATTCGAAAAATAGTTTTTACATTTAAAAAAAATTAAATTAAATTTCTTCCACTTCCATCGTTAAATTGAATTTCTTGTTTCCTTTGACGGAAATGTTGATAGAATGTATAAAAAGTGAAATTCGAAAATTTGAAAGATAAACAAATAAACTTCTCAATATTTTTTTTTTTTGAAAACCGCATTTAAAATACACTTTTAGATATTCAGTTCCTACTAAAACTATAATGTTCATGTCACTTGAACAACGCAGAAATATTTGGAGCGTGACCAAGGTGCACACGAGATATGCACCACTACAATCGTTTCTGAACATGCAGAATAGTACTTTTTATTCTAATAAAAAAAAAATAGTTTTCTTATAAATAGAATCTCACAAGATGATGAGAATTCCCGTTAATTAGTATAAAATTCATTTCAAATTGAGATTTACAGTTTCATTGCAAAACGACGGAAAAATAGAATTGAGACAAAATAAACAATCACAAGGAATGTTATTTTACAAACAACAGACTCGAAAATACTCAACTATTTTATAAATAGTTGAGAATAAAAATTATTTTTCTAAACAGTCGAAAATAGTAACTATTTTCTAAATAGTATTTTAACTACTTTCAAATATTTTCAGCCAAATACTATTTAATTCGTAGTAAATTTGAACTCAATTTAATAATTATATTATCAATTTATTAATTTTATTGATGATATTATTTTTATTATGTAATTATATTATCAATTTATTTATTTTCTATTATTCAATTCAAATTAGTTTTGCAACTTAACTGTGTACAATTTTTTCGACCCTACACTTGAAACCACTAACATGAGTTTTGTCATCAAACTCATCGAATACAAAAAAAAACAGGAATAAATATTAATAAAGTTTGACACTAAATTGATTTGAAAAGAAAAGTTTGATATGTGTATTATAAATGTTCTCGAGAAGAGATTCTCGAAATTATTATTCAGTCCGGAGAGTCGATTTTTCGTCGAATGCCCCCACCGATTTTTTTTCTCTTTTTTTTTGCTTATATCCAGATTATCGAGATCCTAGAGTCTTATAATTAAGTATTTTTTTTTATTTTTTCTGTTTTCTTTTTTTTCTCTGCCATTTTGAAAAATATTTCATTTTTCAAGAAAAATGGTAGAAATAAAAAGAATGTTTTTTTTGACTCACGTTTCTTCGACTCTTTCAATATATAATAATAATGAATGCGCGATGAAAAAAAAATCGGCGAGAAGAAAAATGGCAGAAATTTATACCACTATATTGCTAAAGTGTTTTTTTTTTCGTTTCGTTTTTTTTTTGTTTTTTTAATTGATTCTACCCTTATGTGTCATATAACTTAAACTTTCAGTGAGAAATTTGTCACGTGCGACACGTCGCATTCGCGAACACATGGCCATTAGAGTTCCTGCCATTATGCAGAGCAAACCACATCCAAGACCCACCACTGTGCTAATTACACTCGGCCTTAAGCAGACTCTGTCACCTGTTGAATTTCAATTTCATTCAATTATAATTAAATACTAATTATGATTTTCTCTAATAATATACAGCATATATAAATTGATTTTATCTTATTTCCGTTTATAATTTTCGATCTCTATTAATTCCTCTCGGTATAATCAGAAAAATAATTTTAAAGTAATTTAAAAATAATATTTTAAAAAAATGTAACTTTTTATATTAAATAGAATTTTATTTATTTATAAATATATTTTATTATTATATGAATATATTTTATTACTTTATAATTTTTTAAAATATATTTTGTTGGCTGACCTCGGACTCACGCGAATAATATCAATTTATTTAGTAAAGAAATTAATTCCAAGAATTAAAAAAAATTGGAGACGATAAAAATATCGAAAAGGAAATTAAATTGAAAATTCAAATTCGTTTATATCAATTGTCAAACTCTCTAAATTTGATTATAAATAATTATAGAATTACGAATATTGACGAACATTTTGAGATTAAATATGGAGATGCTATTCTTCACTTGAGAACGCCAAGGTCACCACCAGATGTCAGTTTAGTTGGTGCAATCAGATTGCTCGCCACCTGGTGGCGATCTTGGCGTTCTCAAGTGGAGAAATCACATCTTTTAAATTTATTCCTCAAAAAAATTTTTTATAATAATAGTTATAATTAATAACAATTAATAATAATTCTAGGAAAATTCAAAAAGTATATTTATATTGTTTTCAGTATTGTTGTTTCGATAAATTTTTATTTCGAGATCATTTGTTTTTTAAACAATACTATGAAAATAAAAAAATAGAAATAAATTGAATAAAATAAATATTAAAATAATAAATGAAATAAGATAAATAATAAAATAATAAATGAAAAAAAAATTAAAAATAAAAATAAAAATGCATAATTGTTTTACCAGAACGAACGGTGGACGTCGAATTTTGGAAGAATTCAGTGTCAACTTCTCCTTCTTGTAAAACACGAAGAGACTGGAAGAGATTCACGTTTTCTGATAAGCTCGTTGCTGGTGTCGATGGACCACCAATCAGATCTGTCAGCGATCTTTTAGCAACATTCTTTGCGTTTCTCCAATGACACGGTTGGCTCTAAAAAAACATTCAATTATTGAATTATTATATTTACTTCAATGCCAGTTACTCAACATTAATAAAAAATTAAATAATTATTATTATCATTTACAATAATAATTTATACTAATAATTAAGTACAATTAATAATAATTATTATTTTGCAACAATAATTAATATTATTAATTGAATATAAAATATAATTAATGAACGAAATGATTGATTCAATTATTTATGATCAATCAATTACTATAATTACTATTTATATTTATAATAAAATTATTATTAACAAAATGAAAAGAATAAATAAAAAAATAATAATTTCAAAATAAATATAATTAAAATGCAAAAAACAAATTTTTCACATATTTATTTATATATTTCATTTAAAAATTGAAAATTTATTCCTAATTGAGGCTCCGGATCTTAAAAGGGCACTTTCACCATGTAAAGTCTATGCGGAAAGTGCCCTTTTAAGATCCGGAGCCTCAATTTCTATATGCTACTTTCTTGTACGAGTGTTGAAAAATTTCATAAATTTGTTGAAATTACTAAATAAAAAAATTGTTCTAAACATTATGAACATTTATTAATTAAAAAATTATTTGTTTGTTGGTAAACGAATTATTTACACCATATAGCAGTAAAGGGATATATTTGTTAATATAAAATTATGGTTGGTTTATTCATCGCACACTTCGTGTATTTATTTACAGAAGCAAAGAAAAAAAAATAAAAGAGCAAGTGTGTAATTAATCGTCGGTATTCATGTAAAAATAACACGAAAGTGAAGAATAGAGCACTTCCGTTTGCACCCATTTGACATTAGGGCCAATAAGGGCCTGCCTGATGACACCTGTGTAGAATGTCTCATTTACCTATTAATTTCAAAAATAAACTTCCGCCCGGTAAAAAGGAAATGATTTTATAAAACGGAAAACGAAAATCCCCCCTCGAATTTCTATATCAAAATACGTAATCTAACCCTGACCCTAATTAGAATTCCATTTACAAATATGATGATACTTTCAAAACGATAATATCATAATCAACACACTTTTGCTAAAAGGCTGAGATATAATTCCGATTTATTTTTATAACTTCCGATTTTATGAATAAAAATTGAATACAAATTGTGTGTATTTTAATTTTTTTAATTCTATATATAAAAATTTTTTATTAATTTTTTTTTGTTTTATATTTTAAATATTCTGTCTGAGTTTAAATTAGTAAAAATACTTACGAACTTGAATTAGTGACTGACTTTTTGCTTTTGAATTAGTAAATTTTACTAATAAATTACTAGAAGTTTCTATTTATTAGTAAAATTTAGAAATTCAAATTTAGAGAGCTTTATATAAATCTATATCACATACCTACATTTTTAATATTTAATATAATATTGATAATATATATACAAATTGTGATGGTGAACTTCTAAAAAATTTTTTTTCTAATGAAGGTCAATTTCTAATATTTTTTTCTAACAATACTCAATTTTTATTATAATAATAATTGTAATTTAATCAAATGAATTAATTGAAATTATAGAATTTGAATTATAGAATTATAAAATTATAAAATTATAGAAGTAGTTATTCATTATTCACAAGCAACTTCGGAGAAATACGAGAAACAACTGTCTAAACAGTTTGTTTTTGTAGAAAACTGTTAGAATTTCACAAATAAATTTTAGAAATCAAACTTGTTAGAAATAATGAAATAAATTTTAGAAATCCAAACTTGTTAAAAATAATGAAATAAATTTTAGTAATCAAAGCTTATCAGAAATTGTAAAATAAATTTTAGAAATCAAAACTTGTTAGCAAATTTTTTTAGAAATCAGAATTTGTTAGAAAAACACTTTTTAGAAACAGTGACCACCTACCAAATTATATGTTTATATAAAAATATAATATATACACATTATTTTTTAGTAGCAATGAACTCAAGTGTAATAAATTATATTTTTCTTGTAAATATTAATATTATTGCAAGTAACAATAGAAAATATTAATTTCATATGTAAAATCCCCATAAGGTGAGAAAATATAATAAATTATAAATAAATAAATAAATACGTATATTTACTTTTTTAGTAGCAATGAACTTAAGTGGATGAAGGAAATGTGTGTGTGTGTGTGTGTGTTTAAAAAAATCCAAGTGTCTCCAACAGTTTTTCTTTGGAATGAATGTTACGCAGAGGGAACTCTCGTCGAAGCATAAAACTTAACTCACCGGACATCGTCCGTGGCACATCCGCACATCACATTCAATGTAGAGGGCCGGAGAACCCGTGAACCTGAAGGTTTTCATATAGGCAAAAACTTGTGTCTCAAAAAGTCCACTCTCCGACCAGGAACCACGAAACCTGCTTATTAACTTGTCATCAACTGGACATCCGTATTGATCGATCAATTGAATTCTCTTGTTGCCGCCGTTGTGCGCGAAACAATCGTTGACAACAATGTCAAAACCATCTGCTGGCAAAGAAAATTATATAAATTATATTATAAATTATAATAAACTACATTTCTCTTTTTTTCCTCTTTTTCTTTTGATTCCTAACTTTTCCTTTCCTTTATTTTCTCATTTCTTTCATTTTTTCTATTAGTTTATTTTTCCTCTACTTTTGAAAAAAAGAAAGTTTACAAATTCCACTTGTAAATAAATTTAAATCATTATAGCTTAAGGAAAAAGTATTTAATAGAGAATAAAGTGAAAAAAGGAAATAATAATAAATAATAAAAAATGAAGAGAAAAGAGATAGAAAGAAATATAATTTTTGAAACTTTTTCTCCCTTCGTCTTCTTAAATTCGATAGAAATTTAAGTAAAAAAAAATTAAAAACAATTCTTTGGTTGAATAAAAAGCGAGTTAACAATTCTCAAATATTATTAAAAGTACAGCAATAATGCTCGTAAATCCACGTAATAACACCGTAAGTGTCAGAAATAAGAATAAAAGAGAATCGGTAGAGGGGCACTTAAATGGCGATGGTTTTCTTTTCTAAAATATACATTCTTTCGACTAAAGAAGTCGAACAAGAAGAGGCATCAAGCGAACGTTGGAATGTCCATAAGATCCTCTTCGAGGAAAACAAATTGTTCTATACTCCATAGGCATAAAAGACAACAATAGAATAAGAAATTAGATTTTCTTTCTCAAAAATCATCAATATTCTTCATCTATTTCTTTGAAAAGCAAAAATGAAAAAAAAATTTCCTTTCATCTTTTTTGCAATATGTAAGATACGAAAAAAAAATTATTCTCTCAAAAAGATAATATTTTAAAGCTGTTTTTATTTAAAAACATTATTTTTTAAAATTATTGAATTCTTTTGGAAAATTTTATGAAAATAGTAGATATTGAAAATTATTGAATTGAGAAACATTTTTAAAAATAATTTAAATTTTGATACGAATTTTATTAAAATTTTTGAAAATAATTGAATTTTGGAGAAGAATTTTATTATTTATAAAGATAATTGTAATTTTGACTAGAATTTTTACAAATTTTTGAACTGTGGTAACCTTGAGAAAAAAGGGGAAACAAAAAAAGGAAAAATAGAAAAAGGGAAATTATAAAGAAAGGGTAAAATAAAACCGAGAAGAAAATTAAAACAGCAAAAAAGGATTAAGAGAATAAATGAAGAAGAGGAAAAGAGAAAAAAAAGAAAGTAAAATAGAAGAAAAATGGAAAAAAGGAAAATAAAAAGGGGGGAAATAGAAGAAAAGGGAAAATAGACTTTTCTCTGATTTCCAGACAAAATTTTGACTTTTTCCCTGACCCTGAAGAATATTTTAATTCACTCCAAAAATTATTAGAAACTCAAAAAAATGTTCTATTACATTTATTTACGAATTTCTTTAATTGTAAAATTATTCGAAATATTATTTTTCTATAGAAATTAAGATTTTCAAATTCAAACCTTTTGAAATTAAATAACTTATGAGAATGTTTTATAATAAATTTAATATGAGAAAATAATTCAATTCTTACTACAAATTTTATTAAAAATTTGTTTAAAGAATTGAAATCCTATGAAAAAATTTATTTGTGAAAATAATTGAATTCTGGAGAAAAATATTATTATTTATGAAAATATTAATTAATTTCTTGTTATTTTATTCATATTTTTTTAAATAATTGAATTTCTCAGAATTTTTTAAAACTTTTTGAAAATAATTAAATTCCATCGAGAAATTTCATTAAAAAATTTAAAATAATTGAAATCTGACGACGAATTAAAAAAAATTTTTTTAAACAATTGAATTCCTTTGAAAATGTTCATTTTTGAAAAGAATTGAATTCTTGGGAAAAATTGTACTAAAATTTCCTAAATAATTGATTTACTTTGAAGAATTTTATTTTTTACGAAAATAATTGAATTATTTCGAAGATTTTTACAAATTTTTTTGACAATAGTTGTATTCTTATGAAGAATGTTATATTTTACAAAAATAATTGTATTCTATGATCAATTTTATTATAATTTTTCAAATTTATATACAGCATTTTATCAAAATTTTTTTAAATAATTGAATTCTCGAGAAAATTTTTATTATTTTTTTGAAAATAATTGATTTCTTGCGAAGAACTTTATTTTAATTTTTTAAAATAATTGAATTCTTAAGAAGAATTGTATTAAAAATAATTGAATTGTATAGGAAAATATTATCAAAATTGCAATTTTATTAACTAAATTTTGTAAAGAATTTTGTCAACATTTTTTTAAATAATAGAATTTTTAAAAGAATTTTATTTAAATTTTTCGAAATAATTGATTTTCTTAGAACTATTTTTTATCAATTCTCTGAATACATTTGAATTCTTTTGAGAAACTTCTTGAAAAAATTTAAAACAATTGAATTGGTTCAAAGACATTTTTGAAAAATCGGTAAGTAATTGAATTCCTGTGAAACTTTTATTAAAATTTTGTTTAAATAATTGAATTCTTTTGGAAAATTATATTTAAATATTAGATATTAAAAATAATTAAAATCAGGAAAATTTTTGAAAATAATTGAAATTTTAATAAAAGTTTTATTAAATTTTTTGAAAATAATTGAATTTTGGAGAAGAATTTTATTATTTATAAAGATAATTGAAATTTTGATGAGAATTTTTAAAAATTTTTTACTTGTGGTACTTGAGAAAAAAAGGGAAACAAAAAAAAAAGAAAAATAGAAAAAGGGAAATTATAAGAAAGGGTAAATATAAAAACAAGAGAAAATAGAAAAAATTGAAATTAGAAAAAGGAAAAATAAAGAAAGGAAAGATAGAAAAAGGGAAATTTTAAAGAAGGGAAAAATGAAAACAGCAGAAAAGAAATAATGATTCAGAGAATAAATGATGAAAAGGAAAAGAGAAGAAGAAAGAAAGTAAAAAAGAAGAAAATAGAAAAGGAAGAAAATATAAAAAAAAAGAAATATAAAAACAAGATGAAAAAGAAAAAAGTGAAATAGAAAAGAAGGAAAATTAAGAAAAAGGAAAAATAGAAAAGAGGAAAATATAAAAAAAGAGAAAAAGTAAAGAAGTCCTTTATGAAACCGTGTATAAAAATAAATAAAAGTAAAACAGAAAATAGAAAAAGCGAAATCAGAAAGAAAGGGAAAAATAAAAACGAAAAAAAGTAAGAAAAAAACAAGAAAAAAGTAGAGAAACATATGAAGATCTAAACATACCGTATTTGCTACGCATATAGATGATGAGAGTTAATGGATCTCCAACTCTAACTGGTCCAGCAACTCGCGTACCTGTTACTCCATATCCATATCTAATTTCCATGTAGCATTCAGGCGGCTGAAGAGTAAAGACTACAGGATTTCCCGTGGCAACTCTACGATAAAAAGAGAAGATCATTATATATTTTCTTCTATATAAAATGATTATCTCGTCTGGACAATTTAGTTTTAAATTCACTTAAAGCAATGCTCGCTATAAGGAAGAGATTTACCCCGCCATGCACCCAATAGTATATAAATCATAAAATAATGATCAAGTTCCTGCGTAGGGAAATTTTTTGGCACGACACAAAACATACGGGGCGTCAACTAAATATTTGTTACAAAAAAAAAACACGATTCCAGTTTAAAACAACAAAAAAATCCATCATGAATCATCATATATATATATATAGTAAAATTGCCTCATTAGTCGCCAGCACGTCATAAATTGAAAAAAGCAAAAATAAGAAAAAAAAACTATTTCACTATTTGGCCTATGATGAGAATAATGAGTGTAATGATTTCCCCCTTTCGCGCTGCTACTGGTCATGAAATCATTTAGCTACCGATGCTCATCATCATATATGTACATATATATATGGGAGAGTATGCACGCGAGTCTATATAATCACAGGCTGTGTACATTCGTCGAACTTCGTTATGCACGAAAGTCCATCGTAAGTGATGCTTACGACTTCTATATGGCTTTTGCTTTTTAAAGTGCTGCTGAGATGTAATAACAGGCCCCTTAACGATTTACTAAATGCCCACCCAGCTTTCATCTTCTAATTATAAAACAAATTCCAGGATTATTCCTGATTGTGACACTAAAATTATGGCTAATTTTTTATTTTTATAAATTTTTTTATGAATTTTGGTGATTTTATTGTTAGTAGTAGGAATTTTTGGTTCTGTTATTTTTATTAGAGAAAAGTAACTAATTAGATGATTTAACAATTTGTACACTGAAAAAAAAATTTTTTTAAACCAAAAATATGTAGCTAACACACAATTTTCTTGAAAGTTTCAAATTGATACCAAAGAGGATCAAAATCGATGCCAAAAATTTGGATCAATTTTTGGTTTGATCCACATTTTTTGTGTCAAATCATTGCAATTTGATATTTTTGAAAGTTAACAATACAAAAAATAAATGATTGAAGTTTTGAATTAAACATATTTTTTAATCGAATTAAACGTAATTTTTATTGAATCCAACTTATTAGGTATTGAATCAAAATTATTATGTTTAATTCAAAAATAATTTTTGGTTGAATGTATAACTAAGATAATTATGTTTGATTCAAATTTACTGTTTTCGCAGTGTAGTAATTCAGAAATTTAGCAATTTATAATGTAATTTTGTAATTTTGTAATTTGGTAATTTAGTAATTCAAGTAATTAAAAAATCAGTAGTCTGGTCGCGACTAATACTAGTAGACAAAATTTAAGAAAACTAATCTACTTGTCCGACTAAAAATATCTTTTACTGCAGTATTTTTTATTATTTTTCGCTGTCTTAGAGTGATTTGAACCATTGTCTGACTAACAACTAACTTTTACTACTGACATAAAAATAAACGGAATTCGAAATTATTAAATATTTTTATTAATGAAATTAAGTTCAGGTATACGTAAAATTTGAAGGAAACTGTAGGTACTTTTATATTTGTCTGACTAAAAATGTCTTTCACTACTTATATCAAAATTAATTAATAAATAAAATTCAGTTCAACTGTAATTTTAAAATATAAAAAAACTGTTGCCTAACTGCATTATTGTCTGACTAAAAACTAACTTTTACTACTTATACAAAAAAACCTGAATTAAAAATTCTTACTCCCTTAATTTGAATCAGTTAAAAATCATGGTTTTCATTGACAATCAGTGACTCACTTTTTGCTTCTGAATCAGTTAAAATTAATTGATTTTCAGTAAAAAATAACTGAAAAATTATTTAAACTTGACTAGTTGAATCAGTTAAAAAAATTGTACTGAAACATCAGTTATTATATATAATAATCGTCGTGATTCCAGATTTCCGGATCTCTGTCCACACTTGAAGTTAGTTATGGTTATTCTTTTGTTTTTTATACGTTTGTTTTGAAAATTAATTTTTGTGGGTTAAGTATTAGCATTTTTTATATTTTTAAATGTCAAATTTTTCAATGTTTATGTTATTATTGTACAGTGCTGCCAGATTGGAAGAAATATAGTAAAAACTTGAAGTTTGTTTGAAAATGTTGTGAAGGCTGTGTATATATCAAGTAATTATGAAAATATTTATAAACATTTAAATAATATAAATAAACCATTTTTTAAAGATAAATTATAATTTTTGTTCTTTACGTTTTTATGATTATAATAATAAATGTAATAATTATTAATTACTAAAGTAATTGTTACTGTTCCATTTATTATTTTGCAAATCAAAAAATATGTTATATTTTCAAATATAAACATTAATTTTTTAATTTCAGATTAACTACATAATTAACTATTCTTGTTTATTATTTTCAAAAATGTTAATAACAGTTTTCGAAAGAATTTAATTATTTAAAAAAAATTTTTTATAAAAATCAAATGACTAATTATTTCCAAATTTTTCAATAAAAACTTTGCAAGATTTTAGTCATTTTCAGTGCATTAATTTTTAAAATTAAAAACATTGAAAACTTTTACTTTCAAATTGCGAACAGATTCAAACACAGCAATATTAATTTATTTCTTTATAATTCTTTGTAAAATTTAATTTCATTTATCATATTCTAGAAAAAATTATAACCAAAATCTGAAGAAAGTTTTTTGACTAATTTAAAGATTTCTGAAGATAAATAAGAAAATTCTGAAGATTTGTCGTTTCAATCATCTGGCAGTACTGTTATAGTGTTTGATTCCATTTTTAGCTTTACAACTATCATTTACTCTAAAGGTAAATACTTTTCTATAATTTAATATTAACATTATTTCAATATATTGAAAAAAGTTATTTGATATAATTTACATTCAATTGAATTTTATTTTTATAAATTTCTTAATGCAGAATATTTAGTTTTTTAACTTTTTAATAAATTTTTAACTTGCAAAACTCTAAATAATGTAATTGTTAAAAATATAATATTTATTTTTCATAATTTAAAATTATTAATTATTGTCATAATAATTTAAAATAATTACTATATTATTAAAGACTACAACATAAATTTAAATTATCAAAGTATATTTTATAAAATAGTAATTTAATACAAGTTTTATATTTATATTTTTTATTACATAAAAATATTGTCTAATGTCATGTTTATTTTATGAACTTTTAACGTGTCTTAATTTTCATATGTTTTTAATTAATACGTGATTTATAGAATATTCAACAAATCAATGAAAATATATTGTCAATTTTTTCAATTAAAAATATATTACATCAAATATCTATTCCCAATATTTAAATAATGTTAACATTAAATTATGGACACATACCTGCCGAGTAAATAATAATTATAAAGTTAAAAATTCAATTAAACAACCAATATATAGAATTAAAATGTAGGGGCTATCATACGCCTAAAATTTATCTGAAATTTTTTTTTCTTTGTTTCTAAAAACGAATTTAGAATATTTTTTATGCTTCATTATAATATTATATTACATCTTGTAATTAAATAATTAATGCAAGTTATAGTTTGTATTTATACTATAGATATTTTGTTTTCCAAAGAAATTAGAATTAAAAGTTGTTAACTTTATTATTTTTCAATTAATTTAATTTTTTGCAGTTATGGTAGTTTCAAAAGATACGGAATTTTTTGTTTAAAAAGCTAAATGAATAATTATTTTTTTAATTTTTGGAATAATTAAAATTTTCGTAATCAAAATTATTTTGAAAATAAAAGTATAAAATATGTAACAATTTTTGCGAGATTCAATTTTCTTCGTACAACATGAAAGTTTAACAGCAGTAATAGTATTTTAACAAAATTTATAGGATTCACTTAAAATTCGTTTCTAATACGTTAAATATGACATTAAAATTTAGAAATTCAAAATAGAACTTCCATTTGTCTGACTTTCTTCTAATTTATCGGACTCAGTGATTTCTGGGGTGAATTTGGTAAAGTTCTAAAATGATTAATTTCTATGTTGAATTCGTTATTTTGAATTTAGAAAATCTGACGTTAATTTAATTATTTTTTCGTTATGCACGACAAAAAACATTTACCTGGATAAACTACAGATTTCACTTTATTAGCGAAATTTTTCAGTGCTTCAATTAATACTTTAAAAAGTACATTTAAATTAAAATGGCTTTATATTGTTTAAAATAAGCAATGTAAAAGATAAAATTTGCTCAAAAAATAATTTTTCACCTCCTGCTGGTTACCGGCTGTGGCTATTTTTTTATTAATTGTGAATTAAATTAATTTTTATGACCCAGATACTAATTGGAATTGTTCTAGCATGGTGGCCACTAAAAACAGTCAAAAAATTTCCCTGACTTTTTCCCGACTTTCCCTGACCAATATTCTGGGTGTTTTTAACTTGGTTTCTAATGAACAATAATTTAAATAAGAAATATATCTCTCAAATTATTATTAATAACTACTATTCATTTCAAACAGTTGAGAAGGATGTTTTAAGGATTTTTGAATCAATTTGTAGAAGTAGATAAAATTCTTTATTTTTAAAATTAAATCTTTAATCTTAAAGTAGCTGAGACTGCGGCTAAAACTTAAATTTTGAAATATTTTTTTTAGTCAATAAATCCGTTTAGATGCAAAAATATATAAATAGATCAATCTTGTATAGGCCAATTGTCCTCACCAACATTTCATAAAAAAGCTTCTAATATTTTAGCGTAAAATAAATGTTTTGCTCTTTTTTCAAAACTTTGATTTTGTAACATTTAACAATTATAAATTTAATAAACTAAAATTTATTTATAAATAAAAAACAAAATTATGGGTTTAATTGTCGTGGGCGATTTCGTTTTTCGGCCGTGTACTTGCCTAATGACATAAATACACTGAAAAAAATTATTTGATTCAATTAATTCGAATTATTTGCAAAAATTTTATTTGGATTTAATAAATATTTATTTGCTTCAAATAACTTGAATTATTTGAATCACATTTGTTTAACTCAAATAAATCTTAATTGGATCAATTAAATAATTAATTGATTCTAATAAACGAATTTATTTAATGCAAATAATTAGTTATTTGAAACAATTTATTTATTTATTTCACTCAATTAATTGGATATTTGATATAAATAAAAATTATTTGATATTTATATCTAACTATTTCCGTTAGAAAGATAATGCAATTTGACTGTTTTGGCTGTTTAATATTTAGCCCTAGTCTCCCTTATATAAATTTTTTTTTCTTTTTATAATCTTTACAATTTCCCTGACTAATTAAAAAATTCCCTGACTTTTCCCTGACCTATTTATTTTTCCCTGACTTTTCCCTGACCAGTGGCCACCATGTCTAGCCATAGTTCAGGTCCAGTAATGTAAATTCTATTTAAATTGAGACCATTAAGTGAAAGTATTTGAATTTAAAAAAAATTAGAAGTTCGAAGTTCTTAAATCTTTTTTGTAAACTTTAAAGTTTCAAAATAATATAAAATGAAAATTTAATTCTCTATAATTGTTAACTTTTTCCACTTTTAATTATTTCAAACTTTTTGTTAGGTAATAATAATTATTTCTTTAAACATTTTTTAAAATAAAATGGAGTTTAAATTGTTTAAAATAAGCAGTTTGACACAACATTCCCGCGCGCTTGCGCGCGGATAGTTTAGCTAGTTTTTAACTAATTGTCAATAGAAATATTACTATTTGAATTCGTGAATTAGTGACTGGCTTTTTTGCTTCTAAATGAGTTATTTTTAACTGATTCAAATTTAAAGAGTAAATTTTTACTGCAAGAGTTGAGATTACATAAAATTTTTGAAAACTTCTTTTCAGACAGTTGGGAGTACTATCAATTAGATACAGTTTAGATTTGTAAAATTTGAAGTGTAAAATTAATTAATATTTATTAATTATAAATAACAATAAATAATTAAATTAATTAAATTAAGATTTGTTATTGTTATTTCTCGCAGTTAAAATTTCGATAAAATTAAGATTTGTAAAATAAAAATAAAATACAATCTGTTTGTTCTTTTACTACTGCTATCAAAATTAATTGTATAAATAATTTAATTGATAGATATGAACTGTAATTATAAGACTTGAAGCAGTTTTTGATTCAAACATATTTTTTTCCCAGTGTAGTAATTAAAAAATCTATTAATTTATAAAGTAATTTTCTGATTTGGTGATTTAGTAATTCAAGAATCAGTAGTAAATGTCACATTTAGACAGACGTTTTAAAATTAAAAATTAATTAAAATAATTATTAATTAATTAATTAATTAATTTAAAAGAAGTAGTCATATAAATAAAAAAATTTGAGAATCAGTAGTAAAATCATTTATAGACAGACGTTCAAAATTTTAAAGTACAGTACCAAAATTTAGATGAAGTAGTCATATTCAGTTTTAGTCAGACTAAGAGATTTAAAATTTATTTATACTTTCTTAGTCAGTAGTCTTCCTTTTCTTATTATAAAACAAATTCTAATAATATTACTAATTGTCACTCTAAGACGATAATTAATTTCAGTTTTATTAATTTTTGTATTTTATTATTTTTACCAGGCAAAAGTAAACAATTAACAATTAAGTGATTTAGCAATTAAATACTTTAGAATTTTTGAAATTTAGCAATTTAATAATTTAGTAATTTAGTACTTCAGTAGTTCAGAACTTCAGTAATTTAATAGTTTAGTAATTTAGTAATTTAAAAATCAGTAGTAAAAGTCAGTTTTAGGCAGACGTTTTGAAATTTAAATTACAGTGAATTCAGAAAAAGTAGCATTATACAGTTTTATCAGATCAAGGGATTTTATTTATATAGTTAGTATCAAATGCCTTCCCAGTTTTCTTCTTGTAATTATAAAAAAAATTCCAGGTTTCTGTTTGTGACACAGAAATAATAATTAATTTCAGTTTTTGATAGACTCTTGAAACTTATTAATTTTATTAGACAGAAATAAATTATTACATTATTTAGCAATTGAATACTTTACTACTTTGGACTTTTAGCAATTTATTCAATTTAGTACTTTAGCAGTTTAGTTATTTAGTAATTTATTAATTTAGTTATTTAAATTATTAAATTACTATTTAATAATTTAGTAATTTAATAAATTAATAATTTAGTAAATTATTATTAAGTAACTTAGTAATTTAGTAATTTAATAATTTAGCAATTTATTAATTAAGTAATTTATTAATTTAGTGAATAAGTAATTTAAGAAATTAAGAATCAGTAGTAAAAGACAGATTTAGAAAGACGTTTCAAAATATTAAATTCTAAAGCAAATTTAGAAACAGTAGTAATGTACAGTTTTAGTCAGACCAAGCGTTAAAAAATTTTTAAAAGCGTTTAAAAGCCATTCACTTTTTTAGTGAGTAGTAAAAGTAATTTTAACGCGAAGAAAGTAAAGTATATACCTATTCTTGTAATTTTACTACGAACTGCAAAAAGTTTTATTGGTTTCAGTAGTTTCAAAATGAAAAAAAGGGAAAAAGTAATAAATGGAAAAACAAAATTAAAAAGGGAAAATATCAAATCGAATAATTAATAGTAAAAAATGAAAAAGGGGTAATAAAAATTGAAAAAGGGGTAAAAAATATTGAAAAAGGGATAATAAAAAATTGAAAAAGGGGTAATAAAAAATTAAAACAGAGGTAATAAAAAATTGAAAAAGAGGTAATAAAAATTTGAAAAAAAGGTAATAAAAAATTGAAAAAGGAAAAATAAAAATTTTAAAACGGGAAAATAAGAAATAAAAGAGAAAAATATAAATTTTCAACTCACTCGACATCGAGAAATGGAAACGTGACAGTTTTCCAGAAGTCGTAGCCGTATTCGCAGGTGACCTTGAAATGTTCATCGAACTCCTCTTCAATGAGTGGATTGTATTGTACAGTTACGGTATTCCACATTAAATTTTTCTGAAAATTACACGTATTATTAATTAAAGTCACGAACAGCTTTTTATCAAGTTAATTTCACGCGTGTTGTTGCACCTACTGACTTAATATTGCAAAGAATAAAGCAGTTATTACAAACTTCACATACCGTGGGATTTTTCCTACTGTCCTGATGATGTGTATTCTCACCGAGAGTGCCGCATCGATTTAGTTGAATGTAAAATTCGTAGTAATCACGACCAGTTCCGTTAACGTACATGCAGTCTGGATCATATGAATAACCTGAAAACAAAGATCATAATTGAATTGCATTTCACACTTGACTCTTGTATATTTTTTTATTTCCTTATCTTTAATTCTTTCAAATTTTCATTTTCTTAATTTTTCTTGTTTCTCGGTTTTTTTTTCTTTTTTTCTGGATTCTTTTCTTTGATTTTTTCTATTTCTTTGAATTCTTTTACTTTTGATTGACTTCTTCAATTTTTTTTTTATTTTTTTTTGGTAAATTTCGAATAAGTAGTATGTAGGATTCTAAACAAAAACTTTAGTTTATACTAGAGCCAATAGAAATTCGCCGAATAAAAAATTTCCTCTTTGCAAAAAACAAATAAACAAAGATCTAGAGAAAAAGAAAAATTGTTTCGGTCAAAAATTGTGACATGTAGAGTAATTTGAATCGAAAAAGTTTCCAAACAAGCTATCAAATTTGTATGGATATTGGATTAATTTCCTCTACTAAAATGTGAACGAAACTTTAGAAGGACGATTTTATTCTGAATATAAAAAGTTTTATGTCTTAAGTCTGTAATTGCCTTATATTTTGCACATTTTGTGAGTTATAAATCTGTCATTAAATATATTTTCTGAAAATCAATAAAGACTATCTTGATTATTTTGTGCAGCTTAAAATAATACTCTCTTCTTCTCTTAAAAAATATGATATTATTTCCATAGAGATTTATTCAAGTGGATACACAAAATTCTAGTACATTTTTAAACCAAAAATTCAAACAAAATTTTGTTAAACCGAAAAATAACTGTTTTTTAAATCCGGATGTTATTACTCCTTTTTATGTAACTATTAATTCAGAAAATTTTCCATTATTTATGAACAATTTACTGTAAACCTATTATTGACGATCGTGCCTTTCTTTACCTAGTAATGCCTTCGCTTAGACATTTACTGGAAACGAATGGTGGATCGATTTGAAGAAAATTTTTTCTTTACATTTGTTAATAAAGAAATTTCAAAATTAACAAATATATAATACTTTTATAACATCAGGTTTAATATTACTCATGATGATTTCAAAAATCAGTTTTCCAATGTTCCAATTTTTCTATGTTTGCATATTCAACAAATGGATTAATCTAAATATTAATTATTTTAGTAATTGTAGTGAAAATTTAAGCTGCATTTCCTTTTAAGGCCTCACACTGAGAATATGATGTACTTTGATTTCTTTGTATTACTGTTTTCAAAAATGTATTCTGTTTGAATGATTTTTCTTTTTATTCAGTCTAAAAATATGTTTAGGAATTATATGTTTAATGAGTTTTGAAAAAGTTGATAATGTATAACAATAAAAGAACCGCAATTTAGGTTTGAAGTAAAAATATTATTTCTTTAAATGAACTAAAAAATAAGATTGCATTCAATTGAAATATTAATTAACTGTAATGCAAACTTATTGTTTTAATTTAAACAGAATATGTTTGGATTCAAGTAAATATTTTTCTCAGTATGTCAAGGAACGGATTTAAAATCACTGTTCTTTAAATTTCACCTTCGAACTTATGGCGTAAATTTGAAAAAAGGTGATAATTTTCAGGCTATCTGAAATTTTTTTGTCATAAGTAAAAAGCAAAACCATGGAGAAAATGAATTTTGTATGGTCATAAAAAATGTTAAAAACTATACATAGAATTTAGAATAGAAATAATAGAATGTAAAATATGTAATCAGTTACGCTTTTATCAATAAACCATTGATTAACTTCAGCATAGAAGCTTTAGTTCATTGCGAATGACAGAACTTCTGTCTGAATATGTTTTCTGGCTATGCTTTCAAGAAAGAAGTTGAATTTCTACCTCCAAATGTTACAAACAAAAAAAATTGATTTTAATTTTATTTTATGTGACGATTGTTGGATACACTCTTGCTTTCATCGTATTTATATCAGAATTAGTGATTAATATCCAATGAAGCAAATTCTGCCTTTTTATAAAAAATTTTGGTATCATTACAAAAGAGAACCACAATATATTCGTATATTTCGGTTGCTAAATGAAGGATTCTTATAAACGAAAATTGTTCAAATTATAGGTATTTGGATCGTTAAAAGAAGAAGGCTCATTATTTGAAAACTGTTAAATTTTTTACGACAAGAAATTGCTGCAGGGAACTAACAATTTCATTATCTTGTTTTGTATCAATGCTCTCATTATTTTCAAAATAGAAAATCAGGTATTGCTATAACTAAAAGCATAACTTTTTCAACCTTCATGAGAGTGAATTCTTTCGGATCGTATTAATACTGTGACAGTTTTAAGTTTTTAAAGAAGAAACATCAGCCTTTTTTTTGAGAAAGGCACATTAAAATGAAGTTATTAAGAAGCATGTTTTGCATTGTGTTTTTTGGAGTCGTTCTACTTAAGGTACCAGTCAACAGCCGTTACACTCGAGGATTAATCAAGTATCTGAAAGAGGAATCAAAACTTTACCAGGTATTGTTTATAATTGATGATCAGTTACCTGTGAATTACGGTACGAAACCCAACAATCTAATTCAAGATGTTACTCGACACTTTCCATCGTTGAGTATTCGTTTAGATAAGGTAAAGCTTGATATTAAAAAATACGTTTCACTCAAACTTTCAGTTCCCAGGAGAACAACAATGTTTATTTTTTTGTTCAATGACAACCGAAAAGATCTGGGAGTTCAACTGCAAATGCTATTTGCAAGAATTGAAGAATCGTCCCTAGGACACTCGAAACCCAAATGCTTACTAAGTATTTTTAAAATACCAAAACATGCTTTTTACAAAAATTTCCTCGATTATTTGGCAAGAAAAAATTTTCTTGATCTTCACATCCTAGATCAAATTTCCGAAAACCAAACCTTATTATCACGCCAATCTTATGATCTTCCTATTGAGCATAACTACAATTTCTTTTCAAAAAAATATAATCACGCAAAAGTAAATTCTCAAACCAAATGGTTTCCAAACAAGCTATCAAATTTGTATGGATATTGGATTTACTTCCTCTACTCAAATCTAAACGATTCTTTAAAAGGTGAATTTTATTCAGAAATAGGAAAATTCACACATTTGTTTTCAGACACTATGAATTGCAAAATTCGACTTGTTGAAACTAAAGAAGAAGAAATAAAAATGTCAACTCTCTATAAAAATATGTCAGAAATGTTGGTTAATCCAATGATATTAAAACTGTACAATGAGGGGTTTAATGCTCCACGCATTCGCATTTTGTCGCTTAGTTCAACGAAGGCAGTTATTTTAAACAACCGAAGAGAAACTGAAAATGTTGAGATCTCTCAAGAATTAATTTGCATGATAGTTGCAACAACTGTTGTTATTGCTGCCATCAGAGTTACGGCCTTTTCTCTCAAATTTGACAGGGACATTTGGCAGACTTTCAGTATCGTTCAAATTATAATGGGATTGTCCGTCACCCAAGAGCCAAAGAAGACAGCAGAAAGATTAGTATTCGGAATTTTAATGTTAAATTGCATCATCTACTCAGGTTACATGTACTCTGTAATTTTAGACATCAGTTTCAGAGCAGAACCGCAAATTTCGACTCTTCAGGAGCTTGCAGACTCGTCTTTGACACCGATGATGGACCCCTTTATAAAGGAATCTTTGTTGAACACTTCTCGTCCGTACGTGCGAAAGCTTGCTAAAAATTCTGTCAAGATTCCACTATCTGGAAAACATTTCAGTTGTTTAAGGTACATGGCGAAGTTTCGAAATGTATCTTGCATTTTGGTAGACGCTGAATTTGCAGTAAATGAATTTAATGCTAGAAAAAAGAAATTAAACGTTAAAATTCTGCAGGAGCCTATAATGTATTACGTGAATGGTTGGCTTGTAAGGTACGATTCTCCTTATATTGACCGTTTTAACGAAATAATTCTGAAAGCTTCAGAAAGTGGATTGCTGAATATGTTTGTTGGCCATTATTTCAAGAAAAAAGTTGAAGTTCCACCTCCAGATGTGACAAACAAGAAGAAATTGATTTTAATTTTTTGTTCCGTCCTGATCGTGGGATACACTCTTGCTTTCATCGTTTTCATATCGGAATTAGTCATAAGTATCAAGTGGAGGAAATTGTGCCTGTTTTGTAAAAAACTCTATTAACACTAGCGACATATTGTGAGCAACACTGTTTGATGTGATCAATAAGAAAAAATTGCTTCTAATTGTTTTGCACTTGTTGACTTTTGGTGTCAGTTTCGCCTTCATTGTTTTACTATTAGAATTAATCATTAACACTAGGCCATAGTTTCACCGACACTGATTAAAAGTTAATTGGTGATTGAATCCTTAACCGACCAATCATGAGCGGTTAAGCTATGACATTAATCAATGATAAATTTTCAATCTGAGTTGGTGAAATTGTCCCTTAAATGGTACACAGAAAAAACGATAATCTTATTTTAAAAAGTTCCTACTTAAATAAAAGCCAAGAATATTCTTTACTTAAATTAATTAAGAGGGAAATATTCTTACAATAAGAATATCAATCTTATTGTAAGAATATTTTCCACTTAATTAAAGTGGAGAATATTCTTGGCTCCTATTTTATAGTAGGAGATTCTTAAAATTAGATTATCGCTTTTTCTTTGTACAAATTCAGATGTTATCTGTTAATGGCGTTTCATCTATTAAAAAATAGACATTCAAAGCGTTTTGTCTATGCACTAAAAAATTTCTTATAAATACATAAATAAGTAAATATGTTTGAATTAGGCAATCATTATAATTGAATTAAACGTAATTTTTATTGAACCAAACTTATTATGTAACGAATCAAATATATTATGCTAAATTCAAAAATAATTATTGGTTGTATGTGTAACAAAGATTTTTTATTTGATTTGATTATATCAAATGAATTCAAATATATTTTTTTCTCAGTGTATTCATGAGAAATTGCGATAAATTTTGCAACATTTTGTATCGTGTGAAAATAGATTCTTGACATATGTATTGGAAGAACACTTTATATTTTTCAAGGCCTTTACAAAGTTTTACGATAGAAAATTACTTGTACTTTATATTTCAACTATCTTTTTTCATCAAAGTATTGTTAATTACTGAGCTTAGGAGACATTGTTTTTTATTTTTAAAAAATTGTAAATAACAAGGACATGTTTTCTTCTATGTGAAGTATAAATTTTAAGCAGGATTATTTTTAAAGTAATTCAAAATTCTGCTGTCCAATGAAAAAACCTAGTTACAGCATTTTCCGTAAGGTTAAAGTTTACTTAGATTATAAATAAACCATACCTACGTCCTTATGGAAATTATTAAACTAATTAAATAATTTAAATTAAATTAATTGGTTCACAGTAAATCGTGAGGTATTAAAAAGTGTTGGAGATTAAATTAACACCAAAAAAGACTAAAATAATCAATTTTGGTGTTATTTTTTACAATGAATGAAATTTTAGTTCATTAAATTTTTCTATTACTACAAAACATGAAGATATCGATAACACCGAGTCTTCGACTCGGAGTAATCGATTTCTTCATATTTTATAATAATAATTAAAGATGACCAAGTAATAAAATCATTATTTTATATTAAAAAATATTATACTTCTTCAAAATTATTTTAATTATTTCAATTCAATTATTATTTTCAAAAATTGAAAACTACAATTTTACTTTATATCTATTATTTTTAATAATTTTCGAAAAAGTTTTTTGGCAATTTTCAAATCGATTTGTTTACAATATTCAATATCACAAAATTTCAATTATTCCTAAATTCTTTAATTAAATGCATATTAGAAAATAAAAACTTTAAATAATATAAAAGAAAATTCAATTAAACTTTTTCAAAAAAATTAATTTCAAAATTCAATTATTTCTCAAAATTCACGCTATATTGCTTTTAATATTCAATTATAATCTAAAATTTTAACTGAAATTCATTTTTATGAAATGAAAATCAATTTTTATTGGAAAATTCTACAAGAATTTAATTATTTAAATGCAAAAGTAAATAATTTATTGAATAATTGAATATGTTTCTTAAAATTTAATTCTCATAAAGAATTTTATTAACAAATTTTTAAATAATTGAATTCTCTTGTCGAATTTTATTAAAACTTGCATGAACATAATTACTTTTTTCAGGGAATTCAATTATAATTGTACGAAAAATAATTGAAACGCAACGATGAGTTTTATTATTAGTAAAAATATAATTGAATCCTTAAGAAGAATTTTATTACTCTTGAAAATAATTGAATTTCTGCAATAATTTGTAACTTCTCTAAAAATAATTTTTTTTCTAGTGTTTTTAACTAAAATTTTTCAATAAATCCATTATTTTTAATAATTTTTAAAAAAAGTTCTTTGAGAATTTTCAAATTCATTCGTTTACAATTCAATTTTACAAAATTTCAACTCTTCGGAAATTCTTTAATTAAATATTATATTGAAAAATAAAAACTTGAAATAATTTCAATAAAAATCCTATTAAACTTTTAAAAAGAATTAATTCTACAGAATGGTTTGTCAAAAATATGAAAAATTAAGAATTTCAATGATTTTAATTTGAAACTTTTTCAAAATTTAATTATTTCTAAAAATCCACGTTATAATGCTTTTAATATTTAATTATAATTGAAAATTTTAACTGAAATTCATTTTTAAAACCATTTTTATTAGTAAATTCTACGAGAATTCAATTATTTAAATACAAAAATAAATAATTTAGTAATTTCATTTTTCTTGAAATTAAATTCTCATAAAAAATGTTATCAACAAATTTTTTAAATCATTCAATTCTTTGGACGAATTTTAATAAAATTTTTAAGAATAATTACATTTTTCGAGGAATTCGATTAAAATTGCATTAAAAATAATTGAAATTCTGCAATTAGTTTTATTATTTATGAAAATAATTAAATTCTTAAAAGAATCTTATTATTTATAAAAATAATTGAATCCATGTAAAAATGTTATTATTTATGAAAATAATTGAAATATTGCGAAGAAATTTATAAAAAAAATTGGTAAATAATTGAATTTCTGTAAAAAATTTTATTATTTATGAAAATAATTGACGTTTAATTTTTACAAATCGTTGACTTTGGTGTTTTATTTAAAGTAATATTTTATTTATATAGTTAAAAATAACACCAAAATAGATTATTTTAATCCATTCTGGTGTTATTTTAACACCTCACGTTTTACTGTGAATTATTATTATTATTGCGGTTACTACGTTTTTACTTTAGAAAGCAGACTCGTTGATGTTAAATATTAAATTGATTTAAAAGGAAAATTTTTTTCTTAGTTTTAGCCAACATTTTTTTGGTTTATTTTGTAAATGTGAGTTTTCACTTATGTAAAATAAATGTAATATGTGAAATAAAATACTAAAAATATGTCCCATTGGAATTGTGAGTTTTAATTGTGAATATATATATATATATTAGCGAAAAGAGGAGGATAACAGATATGTTAAATAAAAAGAGACTAGTAAAAATAGGTACCGATGAGACGTTATTTAGAATAGTCTTATAAATTTTTAATTGTAATTTACAATTTATAATTGTAATTGTTAATTATCCAGAGTCATTATTTTGAATGTACAATAACATTAAGCTCTTGTGTGTTTTGTCAATAAATAAGTTTGAACTTACTAATTTGTTGCAAAAATAATTTTCTTGTACTTCTATTTCCTTATTGCTTTCCTTATAAAGTAGTTTTTATCCAATTTATTTAAAATCTAAATTTTCTTTTATTTCATAAGAAAAATTGAAGCGACTATTTTTATTTTATAATTAGAAAAATTTTAACTTTCCTTTCACTACAATTGTAACAAGTCTTTTAACCAATAAAAATTAATATTTTTAAATTTTAATAAATAAAATTTTGCGGTTAACGATCACTTCGAGTCAGAATTAATATTTTTTATTTACCTTCTTCATTTTACTTATATAATTTATTTTATCTTAATTTTTTTTATAAGTGGAAAAAGTGCCAAATTTGGAACTTATGATTTAATGAACAGTGAACCAATCGAAGTATGTCTGACCTACACGGCTTTATACTACTTATTCTCAACTTTTCTTTAACTAAAAGAAACTTTCAAGTTTCAAATAAAAATACAAAGGCAAGTAAGTAAACTTTAAATATTAAATTTCCTCTCCTGAATTCTTAAAGAGACTGAAAAAATGAAATTTTGTCAAAAGTTGGTCTGACTATACGACTGACATATGTTACTAATTTTTTTTTACTTTTTGAGTAAAATTTTTTCCTTTATTTTCTAAAAATATAAAAAGTTTTAATTTCATTTTGAATTAAAATTTGTAATTGAAATATAGAATAGAACATGAAATGTTTCTTTTCCAAAAGAAAAAAATGAGTTTCTGAACAATATATATATTTTTTTATATCTGTAGTAAAAGTTAGTATTTAATCAGTCATCGGTTCACTGAGATTAATAGCAAAAACTACTTACAGTTGAGCGAAACTCGTTCTTTTTTTTGTATTTACATTTATAGTCTATTAGTTCATTAGTTGATTAATTTTAAATCAGTAGTGCAGATCAATTTTAGTCAGCCAATACGTTTTCTCATTTTAATATTACTTACGATAGAACATATTTTTATTTCATTTTTAATTATTTTTTTACTTAAATTGAGTATCAGAATAAAATCGTACATTCAAATTTTAATGCAATTGAATATTTTTCCAAATGGAAATAAAGAGAAACTTGAATGAAATACAAATGTAAAATTACAAAAGAAATTAAATTTCCAAATCGTCTTTCGAAAGTACAAGTTTTATCACCGCATTTAATCAACGAAAAAGTAAAATTAATATCAAGAAAACTAATAAAATCGCACGATTCAAATAAAACTCGTACCGTTATGTAAAATCACAGACTTAACATAAATAAGTACAACTCGTTATCATAAAATCTCATAATCTATATATATGATTTCTGAAAAAGATTCGTTGGCATAGGATTGTTTCATAATTAATATATTAGAGGTAAATATGCGGGGAATAAATCGAATGAAATTCATGTCCGACCCGAGTCTGTTGCTTTCTTGCTAGCGCACATCCATATAATTTGCGATGATCACTGCAATGGGATTTCTTCGAAGGACTCGTAGGTAACTCGTGGGGACGTATAGAGAGTGTATAGAAAGATGCAGCGTTAGATATTTACGGACCACCTGAGAATCCATGTCTTCCTTTTCTTCGTCCCGTGTGCAATACACCGCGCCATGGAAAACACGCAGAATCGGAATAACGGAGATAGTACAATCTTATGCCGCGACGAAAAAAGCGTGCTCTCGACTAATCGTCCTGCCCGATCGATTTACGATAATTACTTTTCCATTATTAGCGCCATGTATACTCGTTATGTTCCCTTCGAAAGAGAGAGAGAGAAAGAAATAGAGAGAGAAAGGTATATATATATATTCCAATGGAACCTTTCTGCATGAGTAACTTTAAGATAATACATTTACGTAGAAAATTTTTTCCCCTCTCTTCTTTCTTTTCATTTTCTAAGAGCTCCAATTAAGTACTGCGTAACTATATGAAGTTATCTCTATATATAATATTCATGGATCATTGCGCGTAATAAGTCCAAATTATTATTACTGTAATAAATCTTTACCTGCAGAGTAGAGAAGTCCGGCGAACGAGCCATTAAAGCCAATTCGGATCTTCATGTAATCGTCTTGACATTCCGCCTCGATATCTGAAAATGTACATACGAATAGTTGAGAAAATTTTCCGCAATTATTATTATTGATAATATTAAATTACTATTATTATTATGTGTTTTTATTTTCATTATTAATATTATTTTATTATATTTTTATTATTAATATTATTTTATTGTATTTTTATTATTATTCCATTTTTTCGAAGCAATAATTTCTCAATTGAATTAAGTAAGTGAAATATTTAAAACGGTTAAAGAAGTAGGGTTGATACAATTTTAATAAAATATAATTAGTTATATAATTAGTTTGAAATAAGTGTTGCTATTATTTTACTAAATAAAATGTTGTTAAATTCATAAATAGTATTTACAGTTTGTATAAATGTGTATTTTAGAACTATGCATAGCTCCAAAAACAATTATAGTGTCAACTGTTATTTTACAAATTTTTCCTATTGAAATTTAAAATAAAATATTTTCAAACTAAAACAGTTACTACTAAAATAGAAATGTATACTACAACTAAATTGAATTATAATTTTAAAAATATTATTTTAGATAAAAAAACAAGAATAATAAACATCATTTAATTCAAAATTATAAATCACTGAAGTAAAAATTAATTTTAAATGTTATTTTATGATTGTTTCTAAAACTTGAAAAAAAAAAATAATTAACACTAAAGCCTAAAAATACTAAAACATAGTCATACTAAAATATAGTTTACTAAAACTCAGTAATCAATAAAATATTAAAATATATTTTAATTATTTAATATTTCTAAATACATTATTATTAATATTGAATATAATTGAAATTCATAAAATTCAATTTTCGATCAAAAAAAGAAATAATAATTTAAAGCAGAACTATAAATAGTTATTTCAAAAAAATCATTTCAAATGTTAATTTACAAGTAATAATTCTCACTACAATTTAAAAAATACCAAAAAAAGAAAATAATAACCAATAAATTGTAATTAATTTTCAAGCATGTTTTTAACCAAAATATTATTAAAATTTAATGCAACTAAAATTAAATTAATTTTTCTAAAACGTGATTTTAAGTAAAAAAAAAAATATTAAGGGCATTTGAACCTTGATGACGTTACAGTTTGTGCAAAGCATGTGTGACGTCTTCAAGGTTCAAATGCCCTTAATCAAAACTATAAATAATTTCAATAAAAAATGTCGTCAAAAATTATTTTATACATTATTTATGTTTAAATTTATTTTTTATTATTATTAAAACAATAAATATTAATAAAATTTTTAAAAATATGTGTAAACTAAAAAAGTAACTACTAAAACGAAAAATTACTAAAAGTCTGTTTAATTAATTATTTTAAGGGAATTTAAACCATTATGACTTCATAGCCTTAGAACAAATGCTTTGCACAAACTATGACTTCATAATGGTTCAAATACCCTTAAAAACGAGATTTTAGGTAAAAAAGAAAATAGTAATAATTTAAATTAAAATAAAATTAACAAAAGTAAAAATTCGTTTCAAGGGTAAATTTATAAATAATTATTACTGAATAAATACTGAATAACTGAATAAAACGAAATTGAATTACCTACTATTACTCTTAATAAGTGATTTTAGGTAAAAAAAATAAATATAATACAAACGAAATATTTTTAAGTAAAAAGGAAAAATAAAATAAATAAAAAATTAAGTATCTAATTAAAGTTAATTAAAAAGTAATTAAAATTAATTTTTTGTTAAAATAAAATTAAAATTGAAGTTTCTTCCCTTCTTTCTCTTCATTTTTTTCATTACATTTTTTTAATATTATTATGATTAAATAAATAAATAAATAAAACAATAATTCCTAACTATAATAATCTCCGTATTTCATTCTTTCATTCTGTCTGTCCACATTTGAAAGTTATAGTTTTTGTGTATGCTTTTGTTTTTTTTTTCTTTAAAAAATATTGTCTGACAGATCGAAAAAATGTAGGTATTTTTTCATGATTTATAATAAAACAATATTTGAAATTAGAAAATATAACAAAATTATGATTAACAAATAAATTTTGTTTATTATATATGATTTTTTCTATAACAAATTTCGTTTGACTGATCTAAATTATGCAAATTTTTCTCCTTTTTATTTATAAAAAATATGAGAAAATTGTTAATTGTTAAAAAGTTATAGTTCAGAAATAGGAAATAAACCCATTTTATGAATAATTCATATTTCTCAATAACAATGTTGTTCAGAAACTCATTTTTTTCTTTTGGAAAAGAAACATTACATATTCTATTCTATTTGACAATTACAAATTTTAATTGAAAATGAAATTAAAACTTTATATTTTTAGAAAATAAAGGAAAAAATTTTACTCAAAAAAATGTTCTGTTACATTTATTTACGAATTTCTATAATTGTAAAATTATTCGAAAAAATCAATAACTTTTTTTTTAAATAAAATATTAAATTAATATTATTTTTCCATAGGAATTAAGAATTTCAAAAATTTTAAATTCAAATCTTTTTAAATTCAATAATACTTATAAGAATATTTTTATAAAACATGAAGATAGCAATTGCTCCGAGTCGAAGACTTTATTATTTATAAAAATAATGTAATTATTGCGAAGGAATTTATAAATAATTTGTAAATAATTGAATTCCTGAGAAATTGTTATTATTTTATGAAAATAATTAAATGTTTGTGTACTATTTTTGGGAATTTGAAATTGATTTGAAAATAATTGAACTTTGGGGAAGAATTTTGTTATTTAGAAAGATAATTGGGATTTCGACGAGAATTTTTTTTTAAATTTGAAAGATAATTGAATTTTATGAGTAGAATTTTATCACTCTTGAAAATAATTGAATTTCTGCAGTTATTTGTAATTTTTCCAAAATTGGATTTTTTTACTGTTTTCAACAAAAATTTGAATTATGTACAAATTTTTAAATTATATTATTTTCAAAATTGCTAATGTTATTCTAGAAAATTAAATTGTTGCTCGTATTAATAATAATATAAAATAATAGTAAATTAAATAAACATGGTAATAAAATTGTAAATGTAAATTAGTGAATATGTAAAATGAAAATTAAAAGTTACAATATTAATAATATTCATTTCACCGATAAAAGTAAAAGTGGAGCAATCTGAATGAAACATTTCAACACAAAATCAAAATAAATGGAACAATACATTAAAAAAAATAGCGAAGAGAATAAAAAGAACAAATTTTAATATGTATTTAAAACCCAAAAAAATATGTAATTCTGAAAAAAGCGAAAAGAAAAAATGCAAAAATAAAAAAGCACGAAGATAAAAAAATGCAAAGAGAATAAAACGCAAAGAAAATGAAATGCAAGAGAAAGACAAAGAACAAAAAAATAAAATTTTCAATTTATAAATAAACAAATAATATCATTATAAATAATGAAGGATTTCAATATATCATTTATTATACAGAAAATTTCAAAATCTAATCGTAACAGGAAGGAAGCTGATTCTTATAATAACACAATAGATTAATTAGTCTTTCGAGTAACATGGAAATGGTCAGATAAGATTTTTCGTGTCGAAATTTCGTCGACATTATTATGGGGATGCGTTGAAGTGGATGCAAACGGAAATTCAGTCATCGATGACGAGAGTGAAAGTGGAATGGATCTTATAGGCGCTCTTCGTGGTAAAAAGAAGTTTCCATGTGACGACGTAACGTTTCACATGTATATAGATAGATAGATGTATATAAAAGAAGAAGAAGAAGAAAGAAAAAAAAAAGATGAAACGATAGTTACACTTGACGTAAGACCGATGATACAACTGTGTTTGTACTACTCTCTTGATTTAAAATCCAACGTTATATTCCTCGAGACGCTTAAGAGGCTTTGGATATGTTTTCAAGTACTCTACACCCATTTAGTATTTACTCCTCAATGCTTTCGTGTTCATTGTCCGGCAAAACGGCCGTGCATACACAATGAGATGTTGCACAAGTAGAAAAAAAATGTTTTTTTTCTCTATCTCTCTCTTTTCACACTTGTTATTTCGATGATTTTCATCTGTCGAAAAATTGTCGTCTGTTAATTTGCAAAATATTATTTATGGATCTCTTTATAGGTGTTTTTAATATTCTTTTAAAGAATAATTTTTTTAATTATTTCATGGAAAAATGTAGTCATTGTTACTTTATGGTAAGAAAAATCTAAAGCGTTTGGAATTTTTTGTCAATTTTTAATATTTTTGAAAATATTCAAAGCAAATTTTTACAACGTAAAGTGTTTGAAAACTTTTTTTAACTCTTACTAATTTTAGAATAAATTTCATCCAAAAATAAATACTAATTTTTGCAAATATGCAAAAATAGTTTAAACAATCCATATTTTAATGATTCTCTTTTTTTTTGTTACAGGTGAGTCTCATTATTATTTACTCTTTACAATCAACAAAAAACGTGAGTCAATTTTTGAAACAATACCCAATAATTTTTCATAAAATAGATAAATTTTTTCATATTTATAACAAATTAAATTTTTTTTTAAATAATTATGGATTTTTGAAATTTTTCGAATAGCAAATTTGGAGTGAATTACTCAGAAAACACCAGGAGCTAAGTTTCATTCGAATTTGATAAATTTTTAAAAATCGTCTGCCATATTGGATCAGCCATTTTGAATTTTAAAAATCTCGTATCTTTTATTTGTTTATTATCTTCATTTTGAATCTAAACCTGACAAATCTAATAATACCAATAGTTCATTTTCTTCTTTTTCAAATTTTGAATTTTAATAAATCGTTTTTTCTTTAAAAGAAATCTTTATCAAATTGAGCCCAGATCTATAGAATTTCACTAGAATCATTCTATAGAAATTCTAGTGATTTTTAATTAAACTTTGTGAAATAATATTTTTCAATTTTATATTATTGTGTATTTAAATTTTACATTTGATTTATATGACAAATTTTAGGCAAAAATTCTTTATATCATTTAAATAAATATAATTTATTTAACTGAGTAACAGGACTCGAATCAGTGAAAGTATTTAAAAATA